AGACAGGTTAAATTATATTAATTACACCTTTAGTTGTGAATAATAGTGGAAGGTTGACATCTTTTTGGGTTTGCCATGAAATCATGATATTTATATGATGTCGGAATTTCACGGGAGAAACTAAAGTTAAACAGGTCTATATTTGGCCAAAAGGTGAGGAGAGAACAATTTATATTAAAAAAAACTTCAATTTTGAAGTTATTCTAAAAGAGTCAAAGATCAACTATTTAAATTGCAAAGTGAAATGCTAGTAGCGGCCAAAAAAATAAAATGATAAAGGTATTGAATTAAATATTGTGGTTAAGTGGTTTGGTGATTAGCAATTGTGTAAGCATAAAGGAAGATAACAAGAGATGAAGGATTGCATTTGGAAATAATTTTGCCTTTTCAAATATACTCCAAATCATTGATTAAATTCAAAATATATGATGATGATGATGCTGATGATGATGATCTCACTACAAGAGAGAATATATTTGTGTTTTATTCACTGCGTGAGGTTTTAAGAGTCTTCGCAGGCATTTAAAATGATCTCATACTGTATAAATTAATAAGATTTTACAAGTACGAGGATCAATTTTGTGTACATTAAGTATGGGTTTCAATAACCCATCATTAAATTTAACTCTCTCTTTTTAATTTAAATTAATAAAATATTTAAATCTCATGTGAGATTTCAAGAATCCTTGTAGAGAATTAAATTAAGTGCGTTGTCGTATGAGATAATAAATCCTCACAAATATCATGATTCTCAGTTTATATAGTAAATAAATAAATGGTTTTTTAAATAAAATAATAAACATTTTTTAAAAAAATAATTAATTAAATTAATGTATTTAAATAATAACAATTAAATCTTTTAGTCATGTAAGATTTTTAAATCTCTATAGACTTTTAGGATAATCGCATTATCCTATGAGTCAATCAGACTCTACAAGTATAACGATTAACTTTTTCAAATTATTTACATGCATAGTAAGAAGTAAATTAAAATATATTAAAAAAATATTATTTAATCCTTTATTATGTAAGAATTTTGAATCTCCATGTTTAAGATAACATATTATCATATAAGTCAATAAGATTTTGTAGGTATGATGATTAAGAGTTTTTAAAAATATAAATATGTATATACACACTAAAATTATTATTAATACATGAATATAAATAAATAAATTAAGTTATTAAACTCTTTTATCGTGTGAGATTTTAAAATCTTCATAAATATTTAGAATAATTACATTATCGTATGATCTAACAAGCTTTGCAAATATAGTGGTTAAATTTCAATAATAAAATATAAAAAATAATTTAAACCTTTTACCTTTTTCTTATTTTAAAATTTCAAAAATTAAGAAAATAATTAAAATTAAATTATTTTATGCAATTTAAAACATTCATAACAAATTTTAGAAAATTATTTTATCAGCAAAATGGTAAATTATTTTTAGTTAATTTCTCTTTAAAAAATATTTTCACCAACAATTTATAATCTCAAACTACATGGATTTTAATTCCCATTGTAGGATATGTAAGTTTCAAAGTTTGATTTTAAGTCAAGTCCTCCCTTATAAATTAATAAATATTTCTTATTTTATTATTATTTTTTAAACATATGAATAAGAAAGGGATAGTTAAAAAATTCAAAGATCTATATTAATTTAGCACAATAAACTTTAGGTAACTGTTCTCACAAATAGGTGTTGTGGGGTGCTTAACACCTTCTTCATATTCAATCGATTTTCAAACCTATTTTCTGATTTCGTAAGACCATCCTTATTTCTTTTAAATAGTTTTTCACAAATTTTTTCAAAATTTTAGTGATGACTCTTATTTCGTCGATTTTCGCTTCAAAGGCTGAAACTTTCGCTCTCACGCACCATCCACATTACATATTCAGGTGCAACAACAGTACCTATAATAAAACACGAGCAAAGTGCGGGAATTAAAAGTTATGTTTTTCCTATTTTATATATTTAGAAATTCAAGAAAGAGAAAAAAAAACAGTTAGAGACCTCATAAGAACAGTAATGATAATTGTAGATTTTGAGTTACTGAAATTCTAATCAAATACCGTGGTCCTTACTTGCAATAAATTATCTTTTATTGATTAGCTTGAAATTCTAATAAATTCTCAACTAATGCTAAATATATTCTCAACTATATTTTGGTGATTTCTCAAGTGATGGGAAAAAATCACAAATGATTGATTTACGATTTACAACTCACTCTCTTAAATTCTTTATTGACATTACAAATAATTTTAAATATATTTAATAAATTTTTTAAGTAATTTATCTATTTATTGATAGTAAAAAAATCATAATTGATTGACTTGATGTAACAGCCCTCCGCTCACCCCGCCTCCCTGAGGTCTTTTGCGGCGCTGGACACTCTCCCCTCAGGCCCCACAACAGGGTGACCCCACCCCTTATGGCGAGTATCAGGAGACAAAGGTTTCCCCACAATAGTATGCAGGATTATTCTTCTTGCGGAGAGCCTCCCCAGGTTCGATCCTCCAACCTCTCCTACATAACAAAGTTGAGACTGAACCTAGTACCATTGAGTGACCGCAAGGAGAATAATCCTGCATACTACTGCGGGGAAGCCTTTGTCTCTTGATGCTCACCGTAAGGGGTGGGTCGCCCTATTGTGGGGCCTGGGGGGAGAGTGTCCAGCGCCGTAAAAGACCTCGGGGAGGCGGGGTGAGCGGAGAGCTGTTATACTTGAAATTCACAACTAACTTTATAAATTTCTAACTAACATTACAAATAATTTCAAGTATATTTATTTTATATCTGAATTAATTTATATGTGTATTGACAATAAAAAATTGATACTCACAACTGACTCTTATAAATTTTTAATTAATATTACAAATAATCTCAAGCGTATTTGATATATTTTTCAATTGATTATTCACAATTTTTTAATTACAAGTAAGAACTATAATTTGTTATTAACATTTTAATAATTCAAAGTCTGTAATTATTATTAATATTCTTATAAAATTCTAATTGTCATTTTTCCTTTGAAAATAAGATTTTTTTCTCGGTTAATGTTCCATATATTTAGGATCCATTTGTTTTTTCTTTTTTTTATAAAAAAATTATTTATTTTTTAACTCTATATTGTGAGTTTTTATTATGTTTGTTTGAGCTTTTGAAAATAATCATAATTTAAAAATATTTTTTTATTATTTTAAAAAATTACTTTAAATAACTTTTGAAAATAATCCAATACGGTAGGTAAGAGAAGAATTTTAAAGAGGCAGGGTACAAAAAAATATTATAAAATTTTAAAATAATATAATAATAAATTATTTTTATAAAACTAAAAATTAAAGAAAATATTATAAAATTTAAAAATAACAAACTAGTAATTACTTTTTTATTATTATAATCAAACATAAAATGATGCCTACTTTTGACAAAATAAATTTCTTTTTTCAAGAAATCTCTAAACTATTTAAAATTATTTATTTTTTAATCTTAAACAAATGAGCTCTTAATTTTTAGAAGGAGATCTATATGTAGTAATAACCTAATGTTTATTATAAATGTTCATAAAATCATAATTATTTTAAAGGCTTGAAAAATAATGATTTAACTATCATATCCTTGCAACAATTATTTTATTATTTTACAAATAGGCTTTCAAGAGATAGTAAAAGAACAAGATGCATTTTCTTTTACCAAAAAAAGAAAAAAACTAGATGCATTTCTCTTTCAAAAATATTTAATAACAGCAATAACAAAATACTTATATTCTCAACCTCATATATTTAGTATACTTTTTTTAATTAAATTAAAATATAAATTTTTTATATATTATTTATTCTAGGAAAAATTATGTATAGGTTTTGTAATTTATTTATAAATAAGTTTTATAAAATTCAAAAACTACAACCAAGATTTTTGAGACCCATGTGCTATGAAGCATCAATATTTCAAATTGTCTCAGATATCTGTATCGATATTGCATCTAATATTGATACTTCTTTAATATATATTCATAAAGTATCTAAACATCATTTTTTTAATTTTAAAAAAATTTATTTTTGATACATATCCAATACTTTAAAACTGTGAGTTGGTATTTTATAGCCAATATTTCAAGATTATTTTTGAAAAATTAAATTTTGTTAAATATTATGATATTAACGTTTTTATTCCTTATATATTTTTTGTAATTTTCTTTTAAAATCAAAGATTATATTTTCCTCAAAAAAATTTTATATATAATAAAAAATAAAAAATATATTTTTTAATTATAAAGATATAAGAATATAATCTTTTAGCATTTAAATCCTAGGTGGGTGAAACTAGACAACAAGCAATTAGGTATAAATAAAATAAAAATACAAGTAATGATTATATTTTGTTTGATATTATTTTATAAGGCTATATACGTATGCTATTTTGGACTTTTTTTAAATTAAAATTTTTTTATTATTTTTTAAATTTTTAATATATATGCACATATAAAAAACATGTCATATCTTATATTTTAAAAAATAAAAGTATCAAAATATTGAATATATATTGTATCTGACGCATGTATCAATATTTATGCATCATAGTTTGCATGTAATTTGTGGTTGACATGCAAAAACTATACAACTTTTATTAATTTGACTTGTACTTACCATTACAACTACATAATTTATAAGTAAAAATTTATACTTTACAAGTTTAATTTCTTACTTAATGCTCAATATAACATAAAGTTTGATAGAATTAATTATACCTACTCAAGGTACTTAAACATAATATCTCCGAATTAAAACATCAAGGCATTAACGAAAAAGCTTCCCCCCCCCCCCCCCCCCTTAATATAAAGTCCCGAGTTTGGACATGAAACAAAAATACAAAAAGAAGGAGACACAGCACTTCTGACAGAGGACGAGGTCGGTTTACTTTTAAGTAAACAACTCGGGCTCCCAAAAAGTAAGACAAAAAATCAGAGCGCAAACAACACACTCACTTTGACTTCGTCCATTTCATTTCACAACCGTCCGCATGTTTCCAAAGTAGAAGCAACATGTATTGAAATTGATGGTGAAATTTAGCATACACTCAGTTATTCACACAGACTTGAATTTTGTTGTTAACTCTCCATCAGACAAAACAGCAATCACTCCCAACGAAACAACTTTTTCCCAAAGGCTGCCAAATTTATACTTGACAATCTAAATAGTCCTACACAATATGACAATCTAATAACGCATTTGAATCTCCAGTTTGCAATTTACAACAAAAATAATGATAAGAAGAAGCCACCAAAATCAGCCTTTCTAGCATCAAATCATAGCCCAGAAGCTCCAGAGGACCCTGCAGCATCCTCTAATCTCAATGTTATGGCCACTTCTTCAATCATTTTACCTCTATCTGATGATCCTTCCATAGTTCTATCCAACCTCTTTAGCCATATATCATAATCAACTGGGTATGGCGTCCCACAAAGGCTATCCACATAATCAGCAAAAGCCTTCAAAATTGCAGAAACCTGCCCAAGATATTGCTGTATAGTTCTCTTCGCCCAGCTTCTCTCCCTCCATTGTAGAGCAGATTCTATGGAATCTTGTTGCTGCATCGTCCCTCCACAAATAAAATAGAGGACATAGACAATGCTTTCTGCATCAGAAGAGGGACACAGCTTCCCATGTTGAAGAGCATGGGATGATGAGAATTGCAAGTTTATGGCAGGGCTGTCCCTGTCTTCTAACACAGCTCGACCCCAAGAGATGGGCACATATCGGCTTTTGAAACCATGTTTTTCGGCAACTTTTATGATGTTTTCTGGACAAATGTCACCATGTTGGACATTAGCCACGGCTGCACTTCTTAGAGCAGCTAAGCAGTCCCGGCAGCACCGAATTGCTTCATCAGCTGAGAACTGTCCCTCATAAGCAATTACAGATGAAAGTGGATTTCCTACAGGAGATGTCACAAGTATTGGAGTCCCACACCATGGGTGATCACATCTCCCTCCAGGGCTCTCCTTCTTGCAGGGACCAGAATGTAAGATCCGACCAGAGGCTATGATTTCCGGCAGATATTTGCTTATGATCCCTTGATTCCTCAAAATGTTTAGCACTTTTGTTTGACGTTGTACTTGGTACCAGAGACTCATGTCCTCCCAAGAAGGCTCAAGTCTAGAGGGATGGGCACCCACATATAAAGTCAATAGCTCTGAGGGATGACCAAGAGAGACAGCACTATGTAGAAAATAGTTCCCTCCTACAACGGACTCCTGAATTTGGAAACTTCTTTGACCATGTTGTGGAACGTCCAAGAGCAATACATCACCTTGCTTGAGCTTCAGGCGCGATGCTTGCTTCCTGAGAAAGAAATCATTCTGGTCGAGTTCAACAATCTCTCCAGCTTCATAGTTAGCTGATCCTTGGTAAGGAATCAGTGCATTTTCACTCTCGATAATGCAGCACTCAGACCTGCGCTTTTGAAGGCGAAGGCCATGATCTGAGATTAATGAAGCTACTGATTTTCTTGGTGGCCCCTTCCATTGGGCAATAGAATAGAAAGTTGCCAAAAGTACTTGCAAGGTTCCTATATCCCCCCAGTTTGCATTTCCCAGTCGGTTCCATATCGGTTCCACTGGGGTGACACCAACTTCAGCACAGGTTTTGATCCATTCAGCCACAGAATGGTACGGATTGCTTGAGTTTAACAAATCAAGTTTTCCAAGGTCACCACTCAACTTCACCACCCCTCCATATTTGGAATCTAGAACTAGAAGGAAGACAGAATCACTATTGACAGAGTTAATCTTGCTCAAACTACGATGAACAAGAACATGGAAACCATAAAATAGAGCTTCACAGATGGTGCGAGAAGAAATTCTCAACTCATTTTCTATTACTTCTGGCCTAAACAATGCAAATGATACCACTTGATCCCATCTGACTTTCAAATCACACCCAGTTTTTGCCATCAAAGCTAAACCACACAGTTCCTTAAGCCTTCCCCTTGATATTGCCTTTTCAACACTGCAGAACTTGGAACCAGGATGAGAGGGACAAGACACAAACAGTGGGAGTGGCCCGCTTTTATGCCAAAATGTACGCCAGAGGCCAATTATAATGGCATGAAGGAAATCTTCAGCCGCTAGATACTGATCTTCAATGAAATGATCTTCAATAAGATCATCAGAAACCTCGGAGAAGTTTGACATTCGTACCAGTTGTTGAAATGGAACCCCCTCCAACGCCAAATCAAGTTTACGCAACTCATTATTTGTGAAGGGAGAGCTGAAATATTGCTTCCTTTCTCCTGAATCAGCATGTAGATTCTCCAAGACCCAATCCTCGAGAGTCTGTGTGAAAATCTCCAGGTCAACAAGTTTTCTTCCACAGTCCTTGAGCCCCCTGTACACTCTTCTGGAAATAGGAACAAACTTGCTAGTTCCTGAAGTTCCAGAGACACTATGAGCAGCTGAGATAACTGCAACATAGAAAACCATTTCACGGATCATTAATAGTAGGAATGGAAAAGGTAGCTACTAGTTAGAACCCAAAAAAGATAACTCCTAGCCCTAGGATGATTTGAATAATACACAGCTGTTGCATTCTGAAAAAAATACTAAGATAATGAAGCATAATGCACGAGTTTACAAACTCAACAAGGAGAACTTGTGGGTGTGCATTGACTAGTACAAGCTTGTTTAGCAGCAAAACTTCTTTCCATTGACAATTACCAAGACTCATCAGCAACATGTTTTATGACTTCTCATAATTTGGAATGGTTAAGGCAGCAATATTTGCCTGTCAATTTTCTCATACAATAACGGACCACTTTCTAATTTTTCATAAGAGAATCCATAAATGAATACACCGCAATTTGCAAGAGAGAACACAGAACATCCTAAACTACATATAGGGGGAATGATCTAAGTAAGAGAAGAGACATGGATGCTAACCAGAACTAGACTTCCTGAAACTTCCATCCAAGCTTTTCCCAGGAGATAAGTCCAAATCATTTGCGGATAACCTGATGCACATAATCAATAATTTTACGAGCCATATAAATGTAATGAACAGTAATGCAATGATCTCTTAATCAAATGAAGTTCTCTGAATTCCTTGAAAGTAAGAAAATCCGTATCTTGACAAAATGCGCTATTTATCAAGGCATGAACAGTCTGGAGAATAGACAACACAAAAAGATACTTAAGCAACAAAGAGCATCAGATTTTAATACAGCCCAGATCTGAACTATCTATAACCTTCACTATGAAGCAAATCGAAATGTTGAATACCTATGTTGTAGTGATTATACTAAGAAACAAAACTTTTCATAAACCAGGATTGTTAAAGAGATTTCTTCTTCTTACAAAATGAAAATAAAATTATTAGAGTTGTACAGGCTTGCGATTTGGATAGACTTACAAAAGAACAATAAAACGTATCATCCCCTGTATTTAAGAGAATTGAAATACATCACAAAAAGCACTAGAATTAATTTGCTTGATCCGATCTCATTGCTGAGAGCCTGAGGCAACTGAAAAGAAGAGGCACATAAAGCTACATTGATTGAGGCAAAATGTTTATTTACCAGGTCTAGTTCCCAACTTCCCATAGAATAGTTTATCTAAATGGAATCCCATTCAGGAAAGCACAACAACGAAAACATGCCATAATTAAAATAATGCCAATCGCCATTCCCAAAAAACCATTAACTAATTCCCATAAACAAAAGAACAGGTCAAAAGTGAATCCACCTAATTGCATTGCGACCAGCGAAAGGATTCTGAACAAAACCCAGAAAAGCTGAAAACTTGGTAGGATTTGATTGAAAGATCTCCCAAAACCACGAAACCCACATTCTTTAACCCATGCGTCGCAATGGGTCTGCAAGATGACAACGACCAGCATTGAAAGCAGAAGCAGAAGCAAAATGTGGGGCTGGTGCGGAAGGGAACGTGAGGAAAGCGGGAGATCTTAAGATAATGGTAAAGGAAAGCGAAGAGGGCATCTTTTTCCCTGCGATTCTGGGAAATGGGAGAGAAAATGGGTTACCATCCACTGTGATTGTGATGAAACATGAAATGGCATGGAACAGGAAGAGAATGAGAGGAAGGAAAAGAAATGAAAGGAGGGGAATGATTTGGTAGAAGAGTGAGTGTGAAGAGAAGCGAGCAAAAGCGAAGCGAAGCAGCAACGACAAGATGCGAAGCTCTAAAAAAAGCTGGGGGAAAACCCAATGACCTTGTCTGACCCCATAGCCATCGGCCTCATGGCGGTTGGCCCCATGGAAATTGATGTATCAGAATTTCTCTACCCACGCGCCCATCGTTTTGCGCGTCGCTCCCTCGCCTGCTCCCTCGTCCCTTTCAAGCACGGTTTTTTTAATTTCTTCCATTTCAATTTATAACATTTTAATGGCGGTTTAATGCTTTAAAGTATAAAATATTTTAATAAAAAATTATTAATAATAATTATTTTAATATCATTTTTATTTCTATATTCAAATAGATTTATTTATTCTTTCTGTATTTTTAAAATTTTATAAAAAATTAAAATTGTAAATTTTATTTATATGTATAATTGTGTCAAAAAATGTGTTATTGGATTCAAACATTTTTTTTTTACTTCAATTCAAGTTTTCATTTCATAATATGAGAAGTAGACTCTACCAATATAAAAAATGGAGGGTAGATCCCTCCCAACAAATTAAGGATTAAAATTTAAAAATTCAATCACTTATTCATGTGATGAGAATTCTTATTATTTAGGTCAATTTTAATTGATTGATTCACTTGGATATACCTCTGCTGAGCAATTTTTTTTATTTCACCGGTAACCTTGAAAGCACAGTTGAATTTGTTTATTAATTTGTATAGATATAAACTTATAATGTAAGAAGTCGAAGGAATACACTGGCCATTAAATTTAAGCGATATATTATATTATTTAAATATGTATAATTTATATAATTTTTTAAAATTTTTTGCCAAATGAGTAGGTCGTGGGAAAATTTAATTAATAATTTTTAAATATGAACTGAAAAAAATTTACTCACTTTTCTTACGTGCGTTATAAAAACCAGTCAACGTGGTAGACTTCTAATTGTTTGACCCCTCCCCTTGGAAAAAATAAAAATATTATCAAGATTGAATGAAAGTGGTGGGTTTGTACACGCAGACCCAAGGAGCGTGAGAGCGGGTTAAATATTTTTGTTTGGCGTTATCAGTTATACTTTTGCCAGAATTTTATATTCACGGAATTAGTTGGCGTGAGAGCTGAATTTAAAAAATATGGAACGAAATACTTCCAAAAGTGTAAATGAATAGTGACAATTAAATATCATGAGTTGGACAGTTATTACTTGTCTAATATTTTAAATTTTTTATAAAATAACATATTTATTTTCAATGATTATCATAAAAATAGTATTTTATTTGCATTATCGGCTAAAATAGAATAGAAAGTGATTATGTTCTTTAAAATTTATTTATTGATCAAGTGCAGCAAAATAATTATTTTCTAACATGTTTATAAATCATAAATTTACATAAAGGAATTAGTTATTTTATATTCTATTTTAGCTAATAACATAACCTACATAATCAAAAAGATAAATTTGTCATTTATCAAAAATGGACATATAATAATTATCATAATTTATGATATTTAACTGTCATTTGTATATTTTAAGAATATTTTTTCATCATTCTCCCTTTGATATATGTGTGTATTATTAACATTAACACTTCAAATTCTACTTTTAATTAATTGGATGTATCTAATGTTGAGTATGGTAAATGAATTTATTCCCTACAATATAGTAAATCAAAGTTCAAATTCAAATTGAAAGTGTGCTTATATTTTATGATGAATCATATCTCCAATATAACTGAATATGCTTAAAGTATAAAGTTTGAAATGATTTTAATTTATTTTTAACTTATTTTAAAAATTTAAAAGAGTCAATAAATAAATTTATTTTGTAAAATATGTAAATGGGGGCCCATGGGCTGTCCGGGGTTGGGTCAGGTCCGTAACAATGTTTCAGGAAAATCCTAACACTGTCAATAGGGCTGCACAAATACTGGACTGGACCGGGTTGGATGCCAACCCGAAGTCTAGTCTGAATGGAGACCGGGCTAGAATTTTCAGTCCAAGGACTGGTCCAGTCTTGTTAGACCCGGGACCTGGACCGGGTTGGACTTGGTCCACCGGGTTACTGGACCAGTCCGGTTTCTTGAATCCAACTCTCTCAAAAAAAAAGCCCTTATATCCCCTTCCCTATAATCACTTGCATTAATATCATAGGCTTTTTTTTATATCCCCTTTCTTTTTTTATATTGTTTAATATTTTTGCTGTCTACGTATGGCATGAAAACACAATAGAACATATATGCTTTGCATATGTTTCATTTTTCCAAGTCTTGAGCTAAAGAGGAATGAGAGCATGCATGAGAGTGACGCAAATACATAAACTCATTAATATATTCATATTCAGAATATATACATCTCACTATAGTCTACTTAGTCAACAATTCAACATTTCATTGTCAAGCTCTATAGTCTATCCAAAAAAATGACTATCCACATATTCTAGCCAACCACATGATATAGCTAGCTAGCCAAAAAATAAGCATTAGCCTATCAAACTATCATCATGCTTCTTCACATAACAAAAAGTTAGTGAGATGTGCCCAAAATATATCCAAAATATCTGAAAGTTTAAAAGTTAACAAACATAAGCGCCATACAACATCAAATGATGCTCACACAACCATCCTCTCCAACATCAGTAACACTGGAAAGATCTGAAAAAATATATAAAATATAAATAGTCAATAGCATTACATCACAAATAAAAAAAATATAACTGAAACATATAATAATTCATATAAAATATAAATAGTCAATATCATCATTGCAACACATACCAGTCTTCACCACACCCTCGGTTTCTTGAAAATTATCAAATTCTTGAAGCATGGATGCAAATTCAGAGATGGATTGTCCAGGAAGCAGCCAATTTTGAGCACATATAAGTGCTTCAGTCATCTTTGGTGATAATGAACTCCTATAAGAGTCCACTACACGTCCTCCTGTGCTGAAGGCTGATTCAGAGGCCACTGTAGACACTGGAACAGCCAAGACATCACGTGCCATCATAGAAAGAACCTTGTATTTGCTAGAATTGGCTCTCCACCATGCTAATATATCAAAATCATCATCAACAGGGGTATCATCAGCAGAATTAGATGAAAGATATTTATCTAATTCTGATTGTGGGTCTAATGAGGTTTTTTCTTTTTGAGATGCTAACCACCTGCGACCTGGATCTATACCCCCTTGGCCTTCAAGCATTGAACATGTTGATGATCCTGGAAGTGTAGAAGAAGAAGCATTGCTTGGGGTACTAGTCCCTAGTCCTTTAGAATACTCATCAAACATACGGTACAAGACATCTTTGATCTTAATTTTCATGGCCATGCAAACTTCAAGATCAAGAAAAAGCTGCTCAAATATATGATTCACATAAGCAAGCTTGTACCGAGGATCCAAAATCACTGCTACAATGAGTAAAGGATTCATATTTTCTGTTTGACCCCAATATTTTTCATACTTGCTTCTCATACTTAGGGACATTTCCATAAGCAAAGGATCAACATTCACAATGTTCTCTTCCAACAACTCATGAATAAGAGCAATTTGATGGAAACAAGTGTTAGAAGTAACATTTAGTGAACTTGAAAACATCAAAGTTATGTCATAGAATACTTTCAAAAATTTGAGAAAGACACGTGCCTTGTTCCAATCACTAGCTTTAGGAGGGCCTTCACGCTTAGTGCCTCCAATGAATTGCCCCATATAATCTTCATCTTCATCTTCTAGGCGTTCAAAAGCCTTTTGAAACTTCAAAGCGGATTCCAACATCAAGTAAGTTGAATTCCACCGAGCATTGACATCAAGGCAAACAAGGCTAGTAGTGTCCAATTTCTCCAACTCAGCAACACTTTTAAACTTTTGGAGACGAGCAGGAGAAGAACGAACATATTTAATTGCATTGCGAATTGCATCAAAGCTGTTCTTCAACTCCTTCAACCCATCATTAACCACCAAGTTAAGAATATGTGCACAACATCTCAATTGAAGGTAATCACCCCCACAAACCATGCCCTTCCAATTCCTAAGCCTTCTTTTCAAATAAGACAAAGCCGTGTCATTAGACGATGCATTATCCATTGTTATGGTAAACACCCTCTCAATTCCCCATTCTAATAGACACTTCTCAATTGTCTTTCCAATTGTGTCACCCCTATGATTCTCAATCATGCAGAAATTTAATATCCTCTTGTGCAACTTCCACTCAGGATCAATGAAATGACAAGTAAGGCATAAGTAATTGAAATTTTGAGTAGATGTCCAGCAATCAGTTGTCAAGCAAACACGATTTGCAGACTTCTTCAACACTTGCTTCAATATCTTGATTTCTCCAAGGTATAGTTGCCAACAATCTCTAGCAACTGTTGTTCGCGAAGGGATTCGAAATCTTGGTTCTAGCTCTCTCACAAAATTTCTAAACCCATACTTCTCAACTATCCTGAATGGCATCTCATCACAAATAATAAATTCAGCCAATGCCCTTCTACATCGTTTTTGGTTGAAAACATGAGAGACTAAGCCCCCTCCTTGTCCACTTGGCGTCACGTAGTTCAACATTGATTGCTTTGGTATTGTGGTAGCCTTATGTGGGTTTTTAGGACATTTTGGAAAGTGCCTTTTCAATGATGTTGTCCCATGCTTGTTTGGGTCACAAGCATAAGTTGCATGACAGTATTTGCAAGAAGCTCTAACCTCTCCATTTGTTTCTTCCAAAGGTAACTTTACAAAATGCTCCCAAACTTGTGATTGTTTACTCTTTTTTGTAGGCTCTTTTCTCTTTCTGCTCACATTCTCTGGACCACAATCTTGTGCAAGGTTAGAGGCAGGATCAATAGCTACAAGAGGAGGAGTTGGTGGAGTTGGTCCAATAAGAGGTGGCATTTCATTTTGACTAGAATCAATTAATTGTGATGGCAAGGGTTGGTCAATACTAGCAGATGCAGAAGTTTCGTCCACCATGTTTCTAATATGAAAAACAAGACACAATGTTAACTTATAAAATCACAAACACAAGTATAGAGTCAGACTT